CACGTGTTTCTTTTTTGGTCATTAAACGACTGGTGCGTTACTAAGAGATCGGTTTTCTCTCCTTTTTTTGTCGTGCTTGGTCATCCTTGTGTGTGGTTACTTCCCTTTGTACCGCCCCTAGATTTAGAAGGGAACGTAACACCGACTCAGACTGCAAGGAATCTGGGTGTGACCCTAGATAACAACCTGTACTTCACTGCAAACATCGCTGCTACAACCCGTTGCTGCAGATACACGCTTTACAACATCAGGAAGATACGTCCCCAGCTGACACAGAAAGCGACTCAGGTTCTGGTCCAGGCTCTCGTCATCTCACGCCTAGACTACTGCAACTCCCTCCTGGCTGGTCTACCTGCATGTGCCATCCGACCTCTGCAGCTCATCCAGAATGCAGCGGCTCGTCTGGTCTTCAACCTTCCTAAATTTTCCCACACCACGCCGCTCCTCCGCTCCCTTCACTGGCTTCCGGTAACTGCTAGAATCCACTTCAAGACACTGGTACTTGCTTACCATGCTGCGAATGGATCTGGCCCTTCCTACATCCAGGACATGGTTAAACCGTACACCCCAGCGCGTGCACTCCGCTCTGCATCGGCCAAGCGACTCGCTGCGCCCTCGCTGCGAGGGGGACCCAGGTTCCCATCGGCAAAAACACGTGGGTTTGCTGTCCTGGCTCCAAGATGGTGGAATGAGCTCCCCATTGACATCAGGACGGCAGATGGCTTGCACATCTTCCGGCGCAAACTGAAAACTCATCTCTTTCGACTCCACTTCGAGCGTTAGAACTATTAATGAAGCACTTTTATACTAATAAAGGACTGGCTTATCTAAAGCCAGTTGAGTAGCACTTGAAATGTTTGGCTCTATGAAACCTGATGTACTTATATGATTCTGTTTTCTTCAAGGTTGTGTCTTCCTGGGCGAATGTACTTATTGTAAGACGCTTTGGACAAAAGCGTCAGCTAAATGTAATGTAATGTAACTGTGTGAATAATGATGCTGGTTTAAATATGTTGAACCAAGTTTTGATCTTACTTTATAATCGCTAAAGTGACTGTGTAATGTTTTTCGTGTCTGTTGATTATTATTTGTGTACCAATGAGGCAGAATTTGTATTTCCTCTTTTTGAAAATAATGTTTTTTTTGTGTGGTCCTTTTAATAATAAACATTTAATTTAAATCAAATGAATTGAATATAGCAGCAGCAGCATCTTTTAGAAGCCAATTCAGGCTTTAACGCTGTTTAAGAACTGCATCTGTTATTGTATACGGGTCATAGGGCTGTGCAATTAATCGTATTTTAAATCGCGATTACGATTATGGCTTGCGACGATTATGAAAACAGCATAATTGACAAAATACGATTATTTAGTTGGGTGCGCTTCGCCCCACCCTAAAAGCCCACTCGGCCACGTGGGAGTGACATGTGTTGTGAGTGTTCAGCGCAAGCGAAGATGTCAGAACAAGAGCAGCAACTCGTTAAAAAGAAGGGTAAAACTATTTCCACTATTTGGAAGTACTTTGGCTTTCAGGAGTCCGACGTGGAGCAAAACAAAGTACAGTGCAGGATTTGTTACCAGGTTGTGTTGGCACCACACGCTAACACAACCAATCTCTTTAATCATCTGAAATACAACCACAAAGTGCAATACGACCGAGCAGTAATACAACAAAAAGCAGATGCCGCTCGACTTCATCCACCACATCATCACAGTCATCGATTCAGGACGCATTGTACAGAGCAACGGCCTACGCGACGAGCTCGCAGAGACAGAGATATTACAGGTGCCATTACATTTCACATCGCTAAAGATATGTGCCCAGTTAGCAATGTTAGCAACCAGGGCTTTAAGCAACTTGTCAACACGTTGGACAAGCGTTACGGGATGCCGTCTCGGTATTATTTCATTCGGTATTATTTGACAAATGCCGTGGGGAAGTTGAGAGAGATGTGGCTTCAGCTGACTACTTTGCTACCACAACGGACCTATGGTCTAGCCCAGGGGTGCCCAACCAGTCGATCGCGAGATGTGTCTACAAATAAAACAACAATATTCAGTTTTATCGTTAATGTCCTGTAACATAATCTTCCTGTGCCAGAATAATGCACTTGAACGCATCAAAGCTTTGTGATTGGCCGGCGTCACCCCTGTGTCGGGGCGTGGCTGAGGGTCTTCAGTACAGGTGGCAATATTGTCACCTGCCTGCGCTCATCTCTGAAACCAGACCATGTAAACAGGCTGGTGTTTCTTGCAAAGAATCTTTAAGAGATGACATGAGCAGTCCTACCAGCATTTGCCATGGTGGCCTAAACATTTTTATTTGGTCTTAAATTGTAGTTCAACATTTATTTCCTGTTACTTCTGGACCATGACGGTTGGCCAGCCTTCAACGTTTAACTGAGTGGAATAATGAATATGTTTTACCAAAATGTTGGCTATATGTTAAGGAGTTTTCAGTAGGTTGTGACAGTGCACTGCAACATGTTTGATTTAATTTATTTTGGTCTAATTTATTTTTATTTATCATATTAATAATATATGTTTAGTATTGTTTTGGAAGTGTGCTCCAACATATTTGTTGATCTTGTTTATTGGTAAAATATTATTTGTTTTAAAGTTCAATAAATGGTCAATGAATAATCGTGATATCAATTATTGACCCAAATAATCGTGATTATGATTTTTGCCATAATCGCACAGCCCTAACGGGTCAGTTATTGTCTGGCAAGTGTACCGTAAATACATGTGGTCATATTAGTTTGGAGGTCAAAAGCATTTCTGTTTACTGTTGGGTTCTGAATTTTGGATGTTTTTTGAATGATAGAATTTATATAAATGAAATAAAGGGAAAGAGACACTCTACTTTTCTCTGAGCTGATACACATCTTTTAAAATGCAGCTAAGTAATGAAATGTTTCATCAGAAAAATAACGACGTTCATCATTTAACGAGAAGTTTGTTGTGTGCCCATTAAGATTCTTCCCTGAGTGAATACCCCCAGCTGAGGGCAAAAACCACAGCTGGTAAATAAATAATTAAGAATATCTTACCATTTAAGTTGCTAACATACAATGATTTGATAATGTTAAAGTAATTCACTTCATCTCAAACAGAGCAACTGTTCCTCTGCTGAAGTCATCTGTTTAAAAGCGTTACAGTCCTCATGTATAACCTGTGCAGGAAGTAGTGTTAAGACTTCAGAAGCCGGGATGCGTCACCAAGGTGAGTCACGCTGTGACTGGCTCTTCCTGATAAAGCCCTCGTTATCAGAGAAAGGGCTGATTCATCTCAGTGTGCTGTGCTCACAGCCATTTGGGATGGAAACATGTGTACAGTATGAACCTAAAGCAAACTGCATTGGTGAAAATATGTTTACTCTTCCATCGTGTTAAATATTTCTTAATGTCTGCATATGGGGTGATGCCCCTTTCAAGGTAGAAAAAGCTACTGATGTTTTCTACCCATATCCTGAACTAAAAGGGACATCATATACGTTTCTTAATATTTAACAACTGTGGCTCGGGTAAGCGTTTATTTCAATAGAAACAAATAATATGACTGTTGCCTTGATTAATTCCCAAAGCAGAAAATAATCCAGAGTCTATAACAGCTTCTAGTAAGTGTAGCTCCATATTCACATTACATTTAGATTAATGCTGTCAAAATTATCGCGTTAACGGCGGTAATTAATTTTTTGAATTAATTGCGTTAAAATATTTAACGCATTTAACGCATGTGCAGAATGGCCCGCCCCATACATCCCACCAGTGGCAGCGCCAGGGTATGGCTGGGGTAGGCTACACCCATACCAAGAAATGGCTTAGCCCCACCATGAAAAATGATGTTAAAGTAAGCAAAATAAAGTCTGCCAACTCACGCGGAGTAAATTGCACAGACAGTTAGTAAGATTGATTTCAGTAGCCACGGTTTTGAAAACTTTTGTCACGTAATGATCGTCTTCTCAATAGAACATCTTTGATAATGTCTTCTGGCCAATCAGAATCAAGATAACGGCGTGGTGTTGTTGCAGGAAGTCCCGACGGAGAATACTTTTGCTGTAGTACAGGGGTGCACATAACTGGTACGCAGGTTATGTGCGTAATCTGAAATGCGTACCGTCACTTGTGTCACAAAGCGCATTTGCGTACCGACGTACTTGTGAAGCTTTTCCAGAAGGCGGTTAGATCACCGGACGACAGAGTCGGTCTCCGTGTGCACAGATAGGGCTGCTGTTAACGTCGGTCTGGACAACGGAATTGTGCCAAAACTACCCCAACCGGCTGCGGAGGGAGACTCCCCCCTTCACTGGAGAACTGCTTTAAAACAGCTGATCACAACGCTCACACTCTGTGGTCACGAAGAACTCCACTAGCCGCCCCCCCTCTGTCGACTTTCCTGAAGTACTCCCCCGTTGATAGAAATCAACACGTAATGAATTAAGACCCCACGGTTTGATGATTGATAGGTGTGTGGGTTGTCTTTCATTTTGACACGCAGAAAAATGTTATAATAAACATAGATACTGTATGTGAAATGGATATATCCGCCTTCTTTCATTTATCTTTCCATTCCCACAACAATATACATAAATAAATGACATATTTTGGACATAGTTCGAATGGTGATTAATCATGATTAATAAATTTTTAAGCTGTGATTAATCTGATTAAAAATGTTAATCGTTTGACAGCCCTAATTTAGATATAACTTAAAGATGTAATTATTAAAGCAATACAAAAAATTGGTAATAAAAGAAAAAATTATGGAAAGACGCAAAACTTACTATTCACAATAGTATCTTTCAGGGTGAGAGTGCTGAAGCTACTCAACCAGGTAACTAGCTGCTAAAGTAACAAAAAGACTGAATAATTGTTTACAACACACTTAAATTCAAATTGATGAAGACTGCGTGGGATAGAACATTTAAAAATAAACTTGCTTGGTAGTGATTAAGCCAAAGTTTGCACTGTACATTTAAGTAATTGTGTTGCTACATACGCGTTGGAGGTCTGTACGTCCGCCCAGCTCTTGGTGATGTTCTGCTTGAGTTCGTTGAGCGGGCTGAGGCCGAGTTTCCTCTTCAGCTCTTGGGCGTGTCTCTCTTTGGCCGACAAAACCTGACGCAGGGTGTTGATCTCCTCTTCCACCTTTAAACACAACAGAGTCACCAGAAAGTAGGGCTGTGCGATTATGGCAAAAATCATAATCACGATTATTTGGGTCAATAATTGATATCACGATTATTCATTGACCATTTATTGAACTTTAAAACAAATAATATTTTACCAATAAACAAGATCAACAAATATGTTGGAGCACACTTCCAAAACAATACTAAACATATATTATTAATATGATAAATAAAAATAAATTAGACCAAAATAAATGAAATCAAACATGTTGCAGTGCACTGTCACAACCTACTGAACACTCCTTAACATATAGCCAACATTTTGGTAAAACATATTCAACATATTCCACTCAGTTAAACGTTGAAGGCTGGCCAACCGTCATGGTCCAGAAGTAACAGGAAATAAATGTTGAACTACAATTTAAGACCAAATAAAAATGTTTTGGCCACCATGGCAAATGCTGGTAGGGCTGCTCGTGTCATCTCTTAAAGATGTTTTGCAAGAAACACCAGGCTGTTTACATGGTCTGGTTTCAGAGATGAGCGCAGGCAGGTGACAATATTGCCACCTGTACTGAAGACCCTCAGCCACGCCCCGACACAGGGGTGACGCCGGCCAATCACAAAGCTTTGATGCGTTCAAGTGCATTATTCTGGCACAGGAAGATTATGTTACTGGACATTAACGATAAAACAGAATATTGTTGTTCTATTTTTAGACACATCTCGCGATCGACTGGTTGGGCACCCCTGGGCTAGACCATAGGTCCGTTGTGGTCGCAAAGTAGTCAGCTGAAGCCACATCTCTCTCAACTTCCCCACGGCATTTGTCACATAGCGCAGGCAGCGCAGACCTGCTGAAATAATACCGAGACGGCATCGCGTAACGCTTGTCCAACGTGTTGACAAGTTGCTTAAAGCCCTGGTTGCTAACAGTGCTAACTGGGCACATATCTTTAGCGATGTGGAATGTAATGGAAAAGTACTTGCAAATAGTGGAAATAGTTGTACCCTTCTTTTTAACGAGTTGCTGCTCTTGTTCTGACATCTTCGCTCGCGCTGAACACTCACAACACATGTCACTCCCACGTGGCCGAGTGGGCTTTTAGGGAGGGGCGAAAGCGCACCCAGCAAAATAATCGGATTTTGTCAATTATGCTGTTTTCATAATCGTCGCAAGCCATAATCGTAATTGCGATTAAAATACGATTAATTGCACAGCCCTACCAGAAAGTGTTAAAAGTCTCCTTTGTTCTCAATCACCGAGAAACACAAAGGTGGTTGGCGATCCATTACCGTAGGATCCTAATCAAATCATCCCAACAGTATTTTCTAGCAAATGCTTGTTAGAAAATACTGTTTTCCATCAAGAACCTGGGTGTTTCTCAATGTCGAGGACGCTTCCTTGGTAGGACATGTCCCTCCGAGTCAGGTCCTTCAGAAGCGATGCAAGAATCCTTCCTAGCCTCGGAAAACGAAGAATGGTGGAACAGGCTAATGCGAGGCCCCGCCTTAAATGGAGCACGATTTCCGCCAAAGATTTGGAAATTGGTCCGTGCGCAAAGCATTGTGGGGATTTTAAGACCGCGGAGGATACACATGTGCAGCCTCAAAATTTCCCGCAACGAAGGACGCCGGCCTCGGTAGAATTCCAAGCATCCTGGACATTGGAACAGTCCTTCGGCGGGACTCGATGACGTAGCATCCTTGAAATAGTGGCTCTGGAGCATCCTTCCTTGACATTGAGAAACACCCACTGGTCAAGAGTTGTCAAGAACTGGAGGTAATTTGTGAAATGTAAGGGATGTAGCCACATTGTGATTCTCTATGCACAATGAACCATGGATTATGTAGCAGCCAAACTGAATATATTCATAATAATACCATTGGAGAAAATGTATCAGTCAAATGGGAAAGGTTGTGATTAAAATGACTGCAGATGAAACCACGATAACATCTGGAAATCGTAAAGCTGTAAATCATGTGAACAAATGTTTGAGCATATTTGAAAATAATTTGAAGTCACATGAAAAATAAGCAAACTATAATGAAAAGGAACTAAAACAGTGGAATCAGAAGTCCCTTAAAGCTTTTATGCACCTGGCACAGGCCTGAGAAAATCTGCCTTGAGTTAATAATTAAAGCTTCTGATTCTTTTCTGAACACAACAACTCTGACTCTACATGTAAACAACTTTTAATCATCTGTGCCCCACCTTGGTGAGCTCTGTGCGGAGCTCCTCAGCCTCCTCCTCCGTCAGGCCAGGGGGGAGAGGGTTCAATGCATTTGCTCCTGCTCCCTCCACCGCTCCTTCCACCACTCCCTCCACCTGAACGTCAGACAGGACGGCTGAATTCTCTGCAACGAGGCCCTTGTGAGGAGAGTTCAGGTTGATATCTGGAGAGGGAGGAGATGGGATAACAGGAAGGGAGGGGAAGAAGACAAGGTGGAGAATAGAAGAAGTTGATGGGAGAGTGAAATAAAGAGGCAGCAGAGTGGTTTTATACGATCATCTGTCTCAGTATATATTTCACACAGAAACCAAGGCCAGGGGAAAGCTAATGGTGCCAGCAGGCGATAAGCGACAGGAAGAGAAAGTGGCAATTAGCGGAGACAGGAGTTGAACTAAATGCTTTCCAGAACCATCACATATTTTGCTTTCGGTAAACAGGAGGTCCGGGATCATTAATATAAGTAGAAATAAAAGGGAGACGAAACGATTCCCAATAAGAACAACACCGAGCTATGATCTATTCGTGAATAAACCTTAAGTTATCCTGAGGTTAAAGGACAGTTTGAAACCTAGCTTTTATATGTCAACCTTCATATGACAATGAGTACATGTAGTGTCATTCAAATGAAGCCAACTTCATAATGTTGGCAGATAAAGGAGTTTGGCAGTCAGAGCTGGCATGGAGGACACAACAAAGGGGAACAAACAAACTGGAACCATTTTCTGTAACAATGAGTAAAAATAGACTAATGCTGAAATAGTAGCGCATTGAAATTGCATTTAATCAGTGGGCGAACCTCTTGTGAAGAAAAGTAGACCTACACTTACAAACCAACCAGCGAACAGGCAGTGATTTGAAGTGTAAGGCTGTCCTCTTTTAAAGAACAGTCTTACTTTCACCTTTAGCAGCTTAGCATGAGATCTTAACCATTGCTTCAGCATGATAGGACTCCTGAATGCAACACTGAGTCTCTCCATAATAGCAGTGCAGCAACCATGTCTGCATGAGTGCACAAACACATAACAAACACATAAGAGTGTTTCAAAAGACCAAGATTAGCATTATCTGCAGGTAGCGTTGGTGACTGATGTGGTGTCTCAACAACATCCGCATACAAGCTCACAAGACATTGGGCTGTTCCACCCTCAAGGTATATTGATTCAGGAAGGATTCAGCCCCGCCCGCAGAAACAACAGCAGCCAGGTTTAAGAGAGACAACAAACAAGCTCATACAGAACAGAAAAGGGGAAAGTACAAATTAAGTGATTTCCTACACTTCCCAGAATGCCCTAAGACAACAATAGTGAATTCAAGAGTTAAGCTATTTTGCATATTTGGTCAAGATTTGCTTCGTTTATAAAGTAGCAGGCCGAGTAGTTTGTGCAACACTGAGGCGTGTATTTGATCAGCTACACCCTCCACTTAAGACCTTGCTGCTGCATTGCATCCTGGTCTATTTCCTGCAGATATTGATGTAGGAATGAGTGTCTGTGGCACTTCTATTTTGAAACGCTAAATAGATTTATTTCCTCATTGACATAGATTGCCAATAAATGCAACACCTATTGGAATGGAGATTTTTTTTTAACTGTTTGGCCATTTTCTTTACAGGAAAACTAAAATAGTTATCACCACCACACATCGACGCACATTTTTTAATGTTAAAACAAAAGACATGACAGCATCATGTGAGGATGCATCAGTCAGAAAGAGTCCCCGGCTCAGCCTCATTTAGGGAACATCAGTAGTGGGATTTTACTCGGACAGACATGCCCCTAATCCACCCCAGTGTGTCATACTTCAAAACAGGGAAATGAAGGCGCATCTTAATGGTTTCCTATAAGAGCTCATCCTGAGACACAGGAAGCCTGAGACAGCATGACATGTCTATCATGGCCACTCACTATTCCAAACCACAGGAAGTCTCATTAGGACATCCTCAAAGGAGAAACCAATGTCAATCAATGTTTATTTATACAGCCCAATATCACAAATGTTACATTTGTCTCAGTGGACTTTACAGTTTGTACAAAATATCAGTATGACAATACGACACCCTCTGTCCTTAGACCCTCACATCGTACAAGGAAAAACTTCCGAAGAAAATACAATGTACATTGTATTCCTTACATAGTTATGCTTATTGTAATGTCCCTTTCCTAAATGCTGTCTTTTGCTACTGTCAAAATTGTTTTACACAATAATTGTGTTGAAATGCCTTGTTTGTCTGGGGTTTTATTCTACCAAAACCATATTTACCTCTGTTATTTTATTTAAACACTCAGTTGAATTTAAATTAGATGTACTATTCACAATCAAATTGTAGAAAATATTTAAAAAATACAATACTGAAGCCATAAGCCCCATAGTCTAGCTGTATTAGTCTCAATCCAACACATTGCTGCCTTAAGTAAAACGTGACTTAAAACAAAAACAACTAGTTTGGCACAATGTCAGGATGGGTTATATAATGAAAAATCAGGAGCACCTGTGTTTTCTTTTTAGCCAACTAAATAAATAGACGATGAATATCACAAGATGCTTTCTGGTGAGCTGAAGATGGAGGTCAAGAGCTGTCAATATAGCCACGAGTGACATTGATAAAGCAGCAGCTAGCATGCTAGCAACAATGCTGTTATGCATGCTCAGTTAGTCAGCACATCTAGCTCTTATTAGCTAAGGAAGTGTGATTAAGAGTGACATTGAGAGCATGTATTCAGGTCAATAAGAAGGAATGGCAAATTGGTGTTGCCCTTTGAGAAGCCCCCCAAAACAAACTGCTAACACTTGTTTAGGCAACATTAAGTCCTATTGTTTACAAGATATAAGCTCCTCTCGTTAGATTCAAACCCCCGAAAAACCTCACAGAAAATATGACACTGTTCCTCACTTAATTAAATGATATAAATGTCAGTCATATCAGATGATAATGTGCTGGGGAAGTTGTTGACATTAGTAACACGATCCTCACTTAGGGCTCCTGTCATTTTTACAAGCGGGCCCGTCCAGTCCTGACGGATATCCCATTATTATGATGTATTAGCTCCAAACTAATCCAAACTTTCACACAAACAATCCGGCAAGAGGGTAGAGTAAGTAGCTACGTGGCGGCGGTTTAATTAATCACAACCGTTTGCTGTCAGCTTGACAAAAGGTCCACGCAATTCTGAAGCTAAGCTATACGGGAGCTAACTTGCTAAGCTAACAATTAACGTTACCTTGACTGGCGGGGTCCATTTCGGCGTCGCTTCCACACAGCTGAAACTCCTTTTTAGCTAAAAGCTCAACACAGCTGGTGTGAAATGTGGATAGGAGACTGTTTCAACACGCTTCTCACTCGACGTGTTAATCTTCCTGGTTTTTAGAGATTGCTCCCACTCAGAGAAAGTCGTCGACAGGAACTCAAACAACCCAACAGCCAGCTCAGCTAAAACAGCTCTATGTGAAGCTAACGGCTGGAGCACACGCACATCCGGTGAGGAATTTCGAAATAAGATAAGTGTTTGTGCATTATAAAGATAGAAAACAGTAGAACTGCGAAGGTTGAAATATACGCTTTAATACATTAATTATTATTTTGATTATGTTAAATGAATCACCAACTATAAGGATAAATATAAATACATTAAAGGGGACCTATCATGTAAAATGCACTTTTTGATGTCCTCCCAGAGTCCCCGGTGTGTCGGGGAACTCACGCAGAGTCAGAAAATAAAACCCTCTCTTTTTTCCTCCGTACCCAAATCTCTAAAAACGGGGCTGCAACGGAGCTGATCCAGATTTGCGTCCGATATGACGTAATATCGGAAATGTAGGCTGGCTTTACACCCACGGCCCTATCAGAAACTTTGCTATCAGAAACAATGCCCGACTGTTTTGGACGTAATATGGTCGGTGCATGTTTACATTAGCATCGCTAACACTCAGAGCTAACCTGTACTGGAGAGCATGTGTGTGAAGAAGCAGGAAATAAAAAGGAACTCACCTTGTGGTATAACCGGCAAGAGAGAAAGCCTTTGAGCTCCATAATGTTTCAGAAATAATCCTTGACATCCTTGATATCCATGATATGGAGTTTCATCACCTCAGTATCTGCCGGTAGAATCTCCCGCATGAGCTCGTCCCCCTCCTTTTTTATTTTGTATCAATTATTTTAGCTTTATACCCCAAATCAGCACTTTTGAAACAGGAAGTGAAATAGAGGGATATGAGGCACGGCTGGAATGGGTGATCTGTTTGGTATTTTGAGCAAAACACTTCATAGACATATTTTTTAATATTTTTGTATATATTTGAGACCTATGCTATTGCCTAGAAATAGCATGATAGGTGACCTTTAATGTAATGTTTAAGAAAACTGATCTGATTCCAACCTCTCAATGATAATTAAATAATTATACATATTAATCAAAACAATCTAATCTATCTTTCTATTTATAGATGTTTCTGGTTTCTTTCTTCCTCTATGGCAGTACACTTTCTATCTTTAATATTTGGACAACAAATAGATTTAATGAAACAATCTTGGTCTTCGGGAAACACTGATTTCATTCACATTTGTATCTTCTAAGAAAGTGAATTACCTGCTTTATTGTTATTATAACTAGTAGTAATTATTTTTAAGATTTCATTAAGACAAAGACAGCAAATACACATTTTAAACTCAGCGAGCGATGCTGCTGTTCAAATAAAGTATTCAACTCAAATGTGCAACGAAGTTTAGATGCTTCGGAAAAGCTCATTTTGTTTTTGTGCTTTTATTTTAAAGGCGTGTCCTCCAAACCGGAAGTTGTGTTCTTCACCGTTTACAGATTTGGGGTTCTGAGTATTTATTTTCCGGTATGGTCAAATGACGTCACAGAAACAGCTGGTGTCAAAAATATTTTTGGTTAGGGACATTTCTCCTGTTGGACTTTGAAAGACAAGGCTTCTTTGCTGTTGTTTTGTAGTTTAATTATTTATACATTAAAAAAGTGTGCATTAGAGCAAGTGTCCGTGAATAAAATAATATTTATTCCATCTTTACATTTATCAATCAAACATCCGATGTCTTGCATTATGCAAAAACACCAGCTTACAAAACATCAAACGCTCTGAAGGAAAAAGTGCTCAGACACACAGATACACATAAAACCTGCTGCAAATAAATCGGATACCAACCACACTGAATGACAGGTGACCTACAAAAGCACGCACTTTAAGTGGTGCACTGCAAACTGGACTTCTTTAAACTTAATTTAAAAACATTCACCATCATACTGTTGAAACATTTGTTTTTCTAACATTAACAACTATTCTTCTCCCCATTTCTGACCTTAGGCACACATCACCTGTACAACTTACACAGTACTTGAGTGACCCTACTTTACTACAATACCATCATGAATACTAAACTACCATTTTGTCTTCAGTGTTAGTACTCCTCTGCTAACGATAAATATAACCACAATCTTGAAAGTTGTGAAGACCTTTGTTGTGAAAGGGAAACATCTTTATCTCTTCCATCGGTTTACCCAAGTCAGTGTTTTCCCCTATAGGCCCACAGACCTAAAGTAATATTTAAAAATAACAGATTGCTCAAAAAACTAACACTCATTCTGAAGTGTTATCCAAGTACAATATGCGTTCAGTCTTAGGGCACCACTGAGCTGATGAATCTGACTCCGGAGTGCATCCTTCCTTCTTTCTTTCTTTCCTCAGCACAACCTCTCCTCTAAAAAGCTTCTCTCTCTCCTCTCATTCTTCTTGTGGAGGGTCTTCAGCCACGAGAAGCTGAAGCTGGGTCGACGAGGAGCCTCGCTGAGGGTGAAAGAGGAGGAAGAGGAGGACCGGTGTGAGCAGGACTTCCTGTCTCCGTCTCCATCTGGAGCAAAGAGGGACAACAGATGGTTTTATATGAATATCTAAGACTCAGAGATACTTGTGGTGAACAACAGTGGTGGAGTAAGTATTCAAGTTCTTGATTCAAAAGTATTCAAACCACACTGTACAAATACTCCTGTATTATGTTATAATGTTGTTTTAGTTAACAATCTTAACTATAAGTACACAGTTCTACCACAAGGTGCCAGCAGAGGCGAAAGAACACTGTCTTTAGTATAAACTGGGTATCAATGAAACAACTATGTAAGTACAGCAGAATAGTACAAGATGTTAGTGATTAAATCAAATCAAATCAAATCAAGTTTTATTTATATAGCACATTTATAAACAATTTTTGGTCGAGACAAAGTGCTGTACATATAATAAAAATAGCCTACAGTAGAGACACTTTACAGCAAATACAACAGCACAGATTGTTCAGGATATCAGTATGAGAAAAACGACACCCTCTGTCCTCAGACCCTCACATCGTACAAGGAAAAACTTCCAGAGAAAACCCCACAGTTTAAGGGGAACATGGGAGAAACCTCAGGGAGAGCAACAGAGGAGGGATCCCTCTCCCAGGACGGACAGACGTGCAATAGATGCCGTGTGTAAATCCAAGAGATAATACATTTTACAACATAGGTAGTCCAAATGTTTGGAAATGCATGTGTCTGTAATAAGAAGATGAATCCACGAGGATGTCAGCTACAATCCTGTGGGAGCCATCAGGGAGGATTAAGATGTTAGTGATTAAGATGTTAGTTAGGGTGTGTAACAGCTTTTTGCTTGAGAAATACTTAGAAATCAATTTGCAAAAACAAAAAAAACGAATTGAAATGATTACAGGGTACAGTACATGTGATAAGTTCAAATGACGATGCGTTAATTATGTTTTACTGCTATGTATCATTTTTCTATACATTATTATGGCTGGGACATCAATACCAATACTTCAATACTTCTTCTATGTCCTTGTTCTTCTTGTAATATAATTAGAAAGTATGAAATAGATTTATAGTAAGAGCAGTTTAGTGGTAGTGTTTTAGAGGAAGTTGTGGATGAAATTTATGTTTTTGAAGTGTAACATTATATATTTTCATTGGAGAAATATTTTACTAGAAATGATTAAGAATAGTCTTAATCTGCATCATTTACATGCCAGCATATTTTTTTTTTTAAATACTTTTTTCATAATAAAAGCCAGGAGGATTGTACCTGAGCTGAGCAGCAGTGAGGGTGGATGTTCTCCTGCTGGTGTTATGTGCAGATGAAGAAGCCGATGTAAGCCCAAACCCTCTGCAGGATGACCAGGAAGGCCAGCAGGTAGAAGAGCAGAGTGACCGCCTGCAGGGAGACGGAGAGATGGGTGAGATGGATGAAGATGGAAAGTAAAGAGATGAGAGATAGAATGCAGGTAGAAACAGTAGTGACTCGAGAACAGAGAGAGATGATGCTGCACCAGAAATACTTTAAAGTGGAGAAAAAGAAGGAAGGAAATAACTGTATCCAGCGGTGCAATGAAACGAGGTACACTGAAGTATTTAAGTACAAATTCAAGGTACTTTTCATTTATTCGAGCTAACTCTTTTACTTTATTTAGAGGGTATAAACACATTTTCAATCAACACTTGACATCTCAAACAAAACATTTTTATCACTTACAAATGAACATTGACTATAACATTAACTCGAGCTGCATGGTCTGTATAAAACAATAACACCTTTTAGATTTACAAAAGAACTAAGATGGTTTACACTTTAATACAAGTATGTTGTAGTTTCTTGACAGCAGGTGTGATATGTTACCTGTAGCATGCTCATCCCCTCCGGCTCTTCACAGATGTGTGCCTCCTTAACGGGATGAGGAGCCTCCTCTTTCTCCTCCTCAGTTTGGTCCTTCATCAGACCCCATCCTGCGTCATTTACTCCCGGGTCGCGGGTCTCCGTCTGCAGGACCCCCCCCTCAGGCTCCTCAAAGCCCCTGAGCAGACCTGCTTCCTCTGGAGGGGGGGTAGGTGCTGCGATCGGCTCTTCAACTGGTTTTAAAACCGACTGCGGGCTGTTGGTGGAGGTTTCCTGATGGTGCTTTGGTTCCACTTTCTGCACAATGAGCTCTGGTTCTGGTTCTACTTTGGGTTCTTCAGGAACGTCTTCCACAACTGCAAGAACAACACAAGCTGCTGAGACTGAATGGGTGTTTGGACATGTAAAAGTCTTGTTTAATTAAGATTGAATTGGATAATAAATATTATTGTTCTTTATCTATAAACTCCATATATTACAATACATTATCTCTACCAGGTTACAGCGATAACTAATATTAGAAAATGTTATATATTTAAGGTTAAAATCGTATAATATTACTGCATGTGTTAGTGCAGCTAAAAGCACATCATTAACATAATTATGTAAGCGTGATAATGCTTCCTCACAAAACAACACAGGGCTGTTTTTTGCATCAAAAGTTGGCTTTTTTAAGAGATATGTAGTTCTGACAGGACAGCTACAGTATACAATTGTTGATGAATTAATACAAACAACAACAACAATTATAGTAAAACAGGAGATCACAGGGGTGA